AGAATATTTTTCAGCCAGACTCTCCACTGGTGATAGGCAAGGATAGAAGGCCTAGGGGCTGGAAGTCTGAGAGCTGATAGGAAGGATAGAGTGGATGGCTGAGGGCTTGGGACTATCAGTATTAGTGCTCTGAGGATCCCATGGGGTTGAAGGACATAGCTTCTTAATGTTCCATATTGCCAGTGGGCTTATTGGAGCCCTTGTAGGATTGAGACTAAAGGCTCTAAGAGGGAACTTTATATAAGGAGCTTGGAAGATGTTTAAGACTGGCAGGGCTTAGGATGAGGCTGCACTGTAAAATGTAAAAATGGGATGTAACTCTGGCAGTGTAAAATGGTTGAGACTGGTGGAAGGGCTAAGTGGCAAAGTGCTACACTTTCACTAATAGATGAAAACCAAAGTTGTTCTGTTAGTTACAATAAATGAACATTTATTTCACTTGCAAATAGAAATTAACCGGTTACAGCAATAAATGGTGATTGTTTCACTAGACACACAAAGGTATTTTAGCAAGGCAATATTTTCAAACAAAAACATTGTGTCGGTGCTAAAAGGTCCTCATTGAAAAACACAGTTGAAAACATCAATTTGAGGATGAAAATTGGTTGAAATTTAAATGTGGAGTGCAAAAAATCTAATTTTATGAATTGAAGTTTAACAATGTTTGTTTCAGTACAATATTTTTTCACGCTGAGAGTAAGGCTGTATTTTCAAAAATTAACATTTTGCATTGATGACCTTTTAGCACTGAGACAACAATTTCTGACTTGCATTTTGGTGACAATTTTCAGCAAAAGACTTTTTTCTAATGCTCTGGCAATGTGCATGTCCAACTTGGAAAATACATAATGCACATAAAATTTTGTTCAAGAAAAAACTTGTTGAATTTGGGTTCTGAACAGCCACTAAGTTGCCTGAATGGGAAACAGAGATATGAATTGCATAATTTACCGTTCAATTTTTGAAAGCTTGCAAGAGTTGCAAACTTTGATGAGAGTCCTGTCTATCAAGTGTCTACAGGCTTTTTCTTACCAATAAATCATTGGAATTTTTGGAGTATAGCATCTTGAAAACCTACATACAGGTACACATGAATGATTTAAATGAGCGTAATTACAGGTACAGTAGATGCGTTACAATATGTTAAAGATGCAAACTACTTAATTTGCAAACTACTTTCTGTTTCAAAGCAAACTGAGCGACTGACTGTACTGAGTGTACAAAAGTACCTCCTAATTCATGAATACAGTACAACGTCACTAAAATTATGCTGAACAATAGGCCGTACATGCCCCTTGGCTCCGAATTTTCCATGCACTATTACTTAACATTGAAAATTGCTTTAAAATGAAAGAATGAAATTTAGGACTAATGAGAATGACTCCAAAGCAAAGATTTCACCATTGAAAATTCAGAAACCAGAACTACAGTTTTACTGCGCATGGCAAATAGCGCCCTCTTTTTTCTGCAAATGGCACCTCCTTTTTGCAAATAGCGCCCTCTTGCAAGGAATCTTTTTCTCTTTGTTTTTTTACGGAAATTGGAACGATTCTATTTCTAAGCCTTTGAAATATCAGCATTAATTAAATCGGAGCAGTTGGGGAGGTTATGCTACACCAAATTGTGTATGGACCCTACCCTGTTCATGATAGCAGCATTATACTGTATACCAATGTACACTACTCAAAAATATTAAAGGATCAGACATCTGTTTTTGAATTTTCAGCCAGGTGTCTTTCATTGATGCTATGAGAGATGTGTCGTGTTTCAGAGTCAAATGTCCCCTGAGTTTGACCAAGAGAGGGCGCTATTTTCTCAGCAACAGGGGTGCCTTTGGTCAGAAATGAACTCTGCCGGTTCACAAGCTGGGAAATGTATCAGTCTATTTTTATCAATAATTATAAAAAAATTCGTGTATATGATTGGGGGGGGTAGATTTGCAAAACAGATGTATGCATTATTTTTCTGAAAGAAAAACGGTCTCGCTATATTTACACACTGAGATACATATATGTATCGTATCTTCAAAGTGCTTCATTTCTCAGCAGCGATAACTTCAAAATCCAAAACAATGCCCTCGCATATCCAGGGTATCATTCTAACTAATAAATAGCGCTCTCACAAGTCCAGGGTATCATTCTAACTCATAAATAGCGCTCTCACATGTCCAGGGTATCATTCTAACTCATAAATAGCGCCCTCACATGTCCAGGGTATCGTTCTAACTCATAAATAGCACCCTCACATGTCCAGGGTATTATTGTAACTCAACAGAAAGACAGCTCACACCAATTTTAGGGCCGTACAGGAGACCTGGACAAGAGGGTTTTTTTCTCATGAGACTTCATCTTTCTAGAAAGTTTCTTGTTTGGTTGCCAGAAAATAACAAAATTAAATGATGCTACACGTACCAAGAAAAAATATTTTTTTAAAATCAGTAAGTAGGATCCTTTGCTTGCTTAATTGAGTAGTGTAAATATGCTAATATTTACGCAGATGGGCTTGCTCCATCACGTTCCCAAGGTGAGAGCAAGGAACTGCATCTGTGAGAAGATTGAGTCCTTTCCTTGCCTTTGAATCAATGCCAACGATTCTGATGAGGATCCCTCATGCAACCTTGGAAACTGTTCCTCCTCAGTAATGGAGGCGAGGACTGGCATCTATCTGAGTTTCTTCCTCTCAGTGACAGTCTTGTGAATCATCTCTGGGGAGTCCCATAGGATCTTGTCCTCCATCTTGTTTCTCTCCTCCATGAATGAGGCGAGGGCGCTCTTCTCATCAGCACTGTCTGGTTCTCCTTATGCACAGCTTCCATGTCAACAATGTCTGGGAAGAAATTAAACACAGAAGAATGAATTGCCGTAGAAACTGAGACAATTCTGACCAAAATGCGAGGATCCTTGTATGGTCCTCAATTTTCCACGTTATTTCATACAAAACAGTCTGTGTTGTCATTGGATCTGACAAAAAGTCCCTCCAAGCCTATCCTTCTTTTCAACTATTTTGAAATCCAAGAATGAACTACCCGGTACGAAGGGACCCGGATGTCTTACTCATGACAGGACTTCTGATGGACTAAACTAACGCTGCACACTCTACATATTTGTGATTAGTTTTCTTCTGAAGAAAACTTGGACATCCCTTTTGAGTGAAGTGAATCAAAACGTGACATCATGCCCTTCTGGACAACTGGCAGTGCTGTAGTCTGTGGGCAAGTTAGGACAATGGGGAGGATGCTTATTTTATCAGATTTTCTTTTAAAATTGTGGAATCTAAATTTGATCCTTGAACAAGTCTCAGGAAATGTTGACCATTGATCACTGGTAAATGGCCATGAAACAGAAATGAACCACCAAGGAGAAGGGACTTTAGACCATGGTCGTTCTATAAATTTGGGGTCCAAAACCTTGTCCCCACTGTTTCACTTGTTTGACACAACTATTCCCAGGTCAGGATTTTCCCGTGTAAGCTAAATGAAAGCATCTACTGTTTTTGCTCACCATAAACCGAAGGCGGATCCAGGACCGAATTTTCGAGGAACTGACTTGTTTTGGGAGCCAAAATATTTTTTCTTAATGTGTTAATTTTTGGCGGAGTTAGACTAAATTTTGAGGCTCATATATACACTTTCAGAAGAAAAGAAATGGACCAAACAGATGCTCTCATTTCTTTTTCAAAATGGCCCCACTGGCTCCCTCACCCTCCTGGATCCACCCCTTGTGTAAAGCTAGCAATTGGGTCATTCCATGAGGTTAGGGCACAATTTGTGACGGTGTCCTTGTTACATGGGTAATTTTTACCACTTGTCATGACCTGTAGAGTAGGTCATTTACTCTGTAAAACTAACACACACCTCTGTATTCAGCCTTGCAGGATGTATAGCAATGTCAATTTGGAATTCACTTGCAGGGAAATAGCTGTTCATATCTACAGAACCCACCTAACAATGGACACCGTCACAAATTGTGCCCCAACCTCATGGAATGACCCATATGCAACATAGGACTCTTACCTAAGCTACTTATGATGTAACCTGCATCTTCAACTCTGGAAACTTCATCAATGGTCAGTCCAATCGCACTACGATGCGGGATGCGTTACCCGACCTCAACATAGGCAGCCCCTGCAGAGCATTCACCTGGCGACAAAGCCCTCCCAAATCTAACAACAGAGCAAAATGACAAAAAAATGACAAAAAGCATTTCTCTTTTCAGTTCAACACTTCTAGAGATTTGTTTTTCAAATTGAGCAAAACATCCAGGTTTCAACCTACATTAGCAACTGTACTTTGTGTCAGATTATTACCAGTCGCTGTTAACCACTTCGTGCCAGGGCATTTTCCAATGTTGATGATGCTGGGCCGGCATGACTATCATTTTTTCCGTTTTCAAAATCCTTCAAATATTCATCATTTCATTTAACGGTCGTTTATAGCCACACAAAGTAATCTTTAGGCACCACTCTAAGTTGGTAGGTGACCTTAATTGACGCCCGAGTATTTGAGCCAGGCCTGCAGCCTTGTAAACAGAGCCCAGATTGCGCGGTGTTATATAACTGTCTTTTGTTCACGAACCTGGCTCGGTGCACT